TTATAAAATTATAATTATAAATTTAGCTATTGAGAATTAGCGCTATACTATATGTGCACGAAAATTCGAATTATTGAATTGTATCTTATATATTTAATTATTAATTTGTATATATGTTTCGGCTAACTTTTTAGCCATTCTCAGTACAGATGAATCCATGTATGTAATTAGATGAGCGATAAGCATAGGCAAGACGTATAAGGCTACGATATCCACATTTTCATTAATTTAGTATTCGCAATGTTTTGAGGTAGTTGATCACCATTTCTTAGAGTGAAAACGCAACAGTTGGCTAGCTGGATGCAACCGTGATTAAGCACCTTCAAATAATTCATAAAGTTAAAAAATAAATTCCAATTATCATCATTAATAATAATAGTATAATTTCACCATCAAATTACTGCCGATAAATGTCATTGATATAAAATAAATTTATTGACATAAAATAATTCAATTTGAAATTTATCACGCATAGTACAGCACTAATTCCCAATAGTCAAATTTATTATAATTATATTTTTTATATGAGGGAATTAAGATTAACATTGTTTGAAATACTATATAATATTTTCATTTGCTTATATAACATTTATGATAATCCATTTTATAAATAATGGAGATTATTTTTATTTTTACAGTGGCCATTTATTCGTTTGTTTGGGTGTCAAGAGCCTGCTTCAGTTTTATTCTCTATATTAAATTTGTGTGCACATTGGATAATGTATCGAAAATTTAAAAGAAGAATAGATCAAACTAATTCTATGTTCTATGTTTGGACGTATTTCAATATTGTAAGTTCAGTATTTATATATATCTTCGAGTGTCATAAAACGTAGTAAACAATTTTTTACATATACATTTTTTCATTAATTTGGAATTGCAAACTTTTTTTAGTCAAGCTGATAAACATTATTATTCATTGCAAATTTTCAATTTTTAACATATTACATTTTAATGAAATTAATTATAAATCTATTCAATACATTTCAAATGTAAAAGCTCGACAAATGAAAAAGTTTGTCAATATCTGTAATGTTGTTATGTTTGAAATTAAATTTTCTCTCTCGAAAACTTTATTTTTAATTATTTAAAATTTAAAGATTATTGATTTCTCATAATCATTTTTTTTAGGGAAAGAATCATTATTAGGGAAAGAATTGTTTCATTCTGGTCAATAAATTTACAGATAAAAAGCAATACGGATTTTTCACATTTTCTTACTTATGTATTTCCTCAAGTACTTAAATTGGCCATTTAAGGATGTTATTTAAATATTTTTCTCTTGATTCACATTAATCCTTGTACGATCTTTGAGTACTACATACATAATTTGCTTAAAAAAGTGTAATTTTACTGTAGATATGTTTAAACGGATGGTTTTGGTCAACTGTATTTCATTCGCGGGACTGGCCATTTACAGAAGTTATGGACTATTCTTGTGCATTTAGTATGATACTTACACTCTTATACTGTATGCTTTTAAGGTACTTTATGTGCAATTTTATTGAATGTAATTACTAATATTTAAAAATATATAAAATAATTGAATTAATTAATTAATTTAATATATATTTAGTAAAGTATAACTTTAGAATACATTTAAAGACAAAGTCTTTTAATATATTGTTATGCCCGCACTGATACCCATGCCGATATCATCTGCGAGCGAATCAAGTCGAAAAAACGTGAAGAACGCGTCGCTGAGCGACATGCAGCAACTCGGATGTTGAACGGAATTGATGGATTTAGATTTGACGGTTGGAACGTCGCTCGGTCACTTTGCTCGGGATGTGCCATAATGCAAGTATACGCGTGCTCGTAACTAAGACAAGTTTGCATAGCAATGTGCTGATCTTATTTTCAGCAGGCGGAAATTCGGTGGCTACAGGAGGAGCGATAGTCGTGGGAAACGGAGCTGCTGATGGTGTTGCGACAACGCGCTGAAGAGTTGGTGCAGTTGCGAAGCATTGCGAAGGATTGCAAGAGCACGGTGCTCAACAAAATGCCCAGTTAAGTCCTAACTAAGTTTTAGGGCATTTTGTTGAGATGTTAATAAGAGAAATGCTTTAAATGTTATAATAAAAGAAAGAAGTGCGCAAGGCTCAAAAGAAGAGTCAAGATGTTAAGAGGAATCTAGAGAGGCTAAGGGGATGCCCCAGAATTTGACTATGGGAAGATTGGTCATCTCTTCGGAGGAATCAAAAGGGGGTCCTGCTCAGAAGTTTGCCACGAAGCAAAATAAGCGCAAGGAGAAGATAGAGCTCAGTAATTTGTGCAGTAGCGCAAAGTAGAACAGGAAATTGTCCAAGAGCTTTGAAACACTAGCTCGCTGTAATTGTAATTGTTGGGACGACAATCGGAAAGATAAGAAGGGGGGAGGGGCGCAGAGGAACTCTTTGCGAGCGTAATATTTTGTGATGTATAATATGTTGCACTCGCGAAGTGTTTCCTTTTGCACGACCGAATTGCCAGCCTGAGTGAACATGCAATATTATAACACATTTGAACAAGGAAGAGTGTCTGCGTAGTGCGGCGAAATAAATAGAGCTGGTAGAATCAGAAGGGTGAAGCATTGCGTATAATGGGCAAGAAGGGCGCTGCATTTTACTGTCTATTGACCAATCAAACATCATTCGGCATTCATTATCTACTGCGCATCCTTCGGAATGCTACATCTTTCTGATTCCATGTGCTTCCAACCGCCAAATCTATCAATTCTCTTCAACAACTGATGAGCTACTGCTTTTTTATATAAATTTTCTCGACTTGACTCTCTCGCTCACACTCGAACTCAGAGTCTCAGAATCGAGTCGAGAAAATATAAATAGTGCGCCTCCGACCTTTGGAGACGATATGGGACGGGTGTCGACACGGTGCAATATAACAATATATTTAATTTATTAATTTTCATTATTTCATATTAAATCTAATATATGTGATAATTATTTTTAGGATAACAAATAAGGGGACTAAAGCATTTATTATAATAACTTGTGGATATGTGAGTATTTTGTGTACACATTTGTCACATTTATGGTCAGGCAGAATTAATTATGGTTACAATATGATGTTCAATGTAGCGATAGGTAAATTTTATATTGTAATTATGTGTATATATTGTACTTACAAAAAGATAGTAAAACTACATTGTAAAATTGAACCGTTTATAATTCTAGGATTAGCGACTGTCATGATAACAATGCTGTGGTGGTATCTTAATCGCATTAAGTTGCCTTACATATACTTAATCGCTTGGTTCAATATATTAACTACTTTCGTGACTCTACTCGAGTTGGCAGATTTTCCTCCTATTTTTTGGATATTTGATGCTCATTCCTTATGGCATGCTAGTACTGTTCCCTTGACAGTATTATTATATAGGTAATTATGCATGCATGCAGGTAAATAATTGTAGAATACAGATGTACTGCGATTACATATGTATAAATACAAGTACAATTAAATAATTATGCCTTTAATTTCATACAGGTTTGTGATCGCAGATTGCTGTTATCTGGAAAAGTATTGTAACAAATCATTTCTAGATATTGATCGTCATAGGCAATAATTTTATAATACATAATGTTCGTCTAAGTAGGTTTACTCAAATCAAAATTCAGGGTAAGATAAAAAATATAAATATGAATTTTAATTTTAAAAAATATATAATGTTCTAATATTAGATATATATAATGCATACAACGGGAAAATTATTACTAAACTACATAAATAGAAATTTTAATTTAAAACTATTTCTTTATAGAATAAAAAAATCGTTGCTTTTATTACTTACCTTGTCAAGAACAAATTTGTGTTATATATCAGGAGATACGATAGTGTCTCAGCGCTAAGCCAAGCGCAACGACACTATCTTGGTTCCTTAGAGACCGCGAGTTGCGGAAGATTGAGATTATTGGATCTCAACGGTTAAACTGATCAAGTTCTACGCTTAATCGATAGCATCCACTCAAATTGTATAATAAAAGTTCTACTTATAGCGTTTTTCCCTTGGGATGCATTAGGTGTAGCCTTGCACTTTGCTAGTTGCATTTAAGCACTGCTTTGCATTGGAGGATACATACTCTAGTGTATATACATTAGCAGCATTCAGCAGAAAAAGCAACTTTGCAACTTTATAAAATTCTTGAATACGATTGGGACTTTTGGTTTCTTATCGATCTAAATGTATAAATCAATCATATTGAAGAATTTTATAACAGTTGCAAAAGTTGATTTCTTTGCTAAACTGTAATCTGCAGCCATTCATTATTGCGCTCGCTCCTGGTTAACTTCCATTTTCAAACTTTAAATGTCACGCTGCCTCTACTCCGTTCCTTTGAAACTATGTATGGGATTTGCTACCGCGGTGTAGCAAAATCCCATTTCGTATATGAAATTTGCATTCTAGCAATAGAAACAACGGTATACTGTTTAAATGTTACACTAGTGCAACCAAGGGAAAAACATATTAGTATTCTTCGAATTTTCTTTTATACACACGAATATTTGAAAAACTGTTCCGATTCTTTTTTTATTTTAAAATGCAAAGGTTAAAGATATATAAAGAAATATGCTCTTGGCTAATATATATAAGTACAATATATATTTCAGAATAAAATTTTATTATATATTAATAAA